GATAGTGGGAATCCTTGTCTTGTTCCTGATTTTAGAGTGAAAGCTTTCAGTTTGTGACCATTTAATATGATATTGGCTATTGGTTTTTCATAGATAGCCTTAATCAGGTTAAGATAAACACACGTGTAAATACTGAATAGTTTCTCTACTGTGAGAAACTCATAGTGTAAACAAGGGTTAAAATGATTAAAATGAATAATTGATAATTTATAACAGGAAAAAAGGTCCAAAGATGAAGGAGTGAAGGGAGGGGAAGGGGAAAGGAAAAGAGGGAAAGGAAAAACTATGAGAAAAGAAAAAAAATAGAAATGAAATCTTTGTAAATAGGAAAGGGTGGAGGGGGTGAAGGGCACACAGGTAATGGGGAAAAAATAAGAACCAAGATATATCATGTACAGGTACAAACACCCAATGATAAATGCAAACGAATTGTATACTCAAAATGTACCAATAAAAGAACTAAAAAGAAAAAATGCACTAGGTCGATCCCCGTTACCAAAATAAAAAAAAAAAGAAAAAAGAAAAAAGCACTAGGGGGCCAGGGATTTAGCTCAATGGCTATGCACCTGTCTTGCAAGTGCAAGATCCTGAGTTTGATCCCTAGTACTGCAAAAAACAAAAAAACAAAAATAAATGCACTGGAGCTGGGGATTTAGCTCAGTGGTTCCGCCGCCTGCCTCGCAAGCTCAAGGACCCGAGTTCGATCCCTGTTACCCACCCCCAAAAAGGAATAAAGGTGACAATTTTTAAATATAGTTTGTTGAAAATTACAGTAATAGCAGACAAGTAAGTGATACAGAATAAGATCTGAACCAGCTTGTAAGTGGTTTTAATGCAAGAATAAGCAATGAATATTAAAAATTCTATTCAAAATGAGCAAAAAAATAATTGTACAATTTGAAAATACTTAAAATTTTACCAACTCTAAGCTACATTTTAATTAAACTTCTAATTTTGAGAAAATTATATATTCAAATAAAGTTGTATAAAATAATGCAATGAGAGTCTCCATTTCCCCAGTGATAACATCTTGCAAAGTTACAGTACAATATTGATATTGATATTGATATTGATACAGTTAGGACACAAAAGTGTACCATCACTATTATATTCCCTCCTTGTTGCACTTTTATAGCCATCTCCAAGCCCCTTCCTCTCCTGATGCTGTAGTCCCTTGTGCTTAACCTCTGGCAACCACTAAAATTTCTCATTTTAAGAATTATATTAATGGAATCATACATTATGTAATCTGTTGGGATCGATCCCTTTCCTTGTATAATTTCCTAGAGATTCATTTAAATTGTTCATGTCAATAGTTGATTCTTTTTTTATTGCTTTTTGTACTCTATGGTAGAGATTTCCCTCAATTTACTCATTTACCAATTGAACGACATCTGGATTGCTGCCAGTTTTGAGCTCTGATGAAATCAAATAGCTAAGGGTGGGTTGGGAGAGAAAGCATTGTGGATATATAGTGAAATATTCTGTTATTAATATTATTTAGGGTTATTTAGGTGAAGGGAAATAAAAAGATTAAGATGCAATATGTATATGTACCAATTTCCCACAGTGAATGTGTTATATATTGCAAACACTTACTAATAAAAAATTGCAAGAAACTGTTACTTAGTGTTATTTCAAACTAATACTTAATTTGACTCAATAATTCCACTTCCAGAAAGCTATCCAAAATAATTAAGAAATACAGGTAAAATGTATGTTCAAAATTGTGGCTGTATTATGCATAATACAAAAATTTCCTATTTTATAATAGGAAATTGTACTTTATGTGGTACGTCAATATATAGAAATGTTATAAAACTTAAAAAATCATGTCTAAGAATATTTAGGAAAAATGTGGAAGTACAGTACTCAAACATAAATATAAGATGAACAGAGTAGACATTATGTTTTGAGCAATTAATGCTGTAATAAATTACCCCAAAATCTGAGAGGCTTCACAAAGCTCATGTTTATTTGTTGTTCACACAGCAGTCTAACACAAGTTGGAAAGTGTCCCAGGTGACTGTTTTCAAGCAGTTAATCAGGGATCAGGGCCTGGGTAGTGTGTGGCTGCTTTAGGTGCTACATGGCTTCCAAGGTCACTGCAGAAGGTAGAAATAGCCAGAGACACTTGGCAAGGTATTTAAGGCCTACAAGTGATTTATATAATTTTTGTTCCCATTCCATTGTCAAGAAATGAGTCATATGGGTCTGTACCTAATTTCAGGGGAGGCTGAGAAATGTAGTTCTCTTTTATAACAAGAAAGAAGAAACAGTATAATGAGCACATATCTTGTATCTACCATAGGAGGGTACCAACTCTTTGCATGGTAGGATCTAATATGATAACATATAACATATATGTATCATGAAGACTATATGTAGGCATAGAACATGACTGAAAATGCATAAACCAAATTAACTGGGTTTATTTTTTTGTAGGCACTGAAATTTTACAGTATTTCAGTCTTTTTTGTCCATTTTCTTAGGCCTAATCCAATACAATATAAATATTCCACTAAGTGATGAATTATGTTTTAAATAATATAAAGCTACTTATTCTATGCGTTATGTAAGAAAATCACACATTCAGAATTTAATATTAACTCTTTGACTTCTATTCTTCCTGCCAAATTCCTACAGAAACAGCTTGGCTTTGTTTGATTCTCTTTTAGCTCTAATTCCAGAACTGGGTCTTTCTTACTTAGGGGAAAAGCATGGTGAAAATGTAGACAATATGTTTTTACATAGATAATTTTATACTAACTTAGTAACCAAATTATTGTTTTTGAAAAATCAAATTCCTCATTACCTCCAAGAGTCTATAAGCTTTTAAAACCCATTTCAGAATTTATTTTCCTTAAAGAATACAAGTGATGTTTGGTACCACATGTAAGGTCTGACCAAGGCACACTTGATACCACTGAGGCAGGCAAGTTTCAAGCAACATGTGATGAGTTTATTGCCATCTGGGTGCAGATAGGCCAAGGGTGAGAAGGCCCTTGGTGCAGACAGGAGGGTGCGTGTGGTTGTTATAGTAGAGTTTAGGTAGGGGAGGGGGCACTGGTCAAAAAACTTTAGAGTCCCTTGGGTGATGGGCCTGGGGCTGGCTGATAAACAGCACTGTGGTAGGAGCAGCAGGGGGTGGCTGTTGGCTTTCTGTTATCTCTGTGCTCCTGTGGATGCAGGTGGCAGGTCTGCTTGGGGTGGTGGTATCTGACTGGTGGTGGTGGGGTATCAGCACATAAAATGAAATTAAATGAAAATATTTTGAGGGATGATAGGCAGCAGAAACAGCATGGGTAAAGGTACAGAATTGTGAGTATGAATCATTTGTGGTAGAGATTTTCAAGGTGTGGTTTCTGGACCATCAGCATGGCCTGAGAACTTGTTAAAAATTATTCCTTAGGCCCAGTTGTAGGATGGCCAACCATCCTGGTTTGCCTGCATCTGCTCTATTTTTAGCACTGTAAATCCCACACACTGGAAAACTCTTTTCTATGCAAACTAGGACAATTGATCAACTCAGGCTGCTTATCCCAGGCCTACTGAATCAGAAACTCTTGAGTGTGGGCCCACCAATCTGCATTTTTATAATTCCTCCTGATGATTCAAATGCATGCTAAAGTTTGAGAACAGCTGATCTAGGGAACTGTGAGGAGTTCGGCACTGCTCAGTGATGGGAGTGTGTGGTGAAGGATGAAAGCTGCTGAGTTAACAGAGACCAGGCAATGAAGGCCATTGTTGCTTTGGTAAAAGTTGCATCCTAAAGCAGATTAGTATGAAAGTATCAACCGAAGGATTTCAGTTGAGGTAGAATATATTATATTGTGAGCTGTATTTTTGTATAGACAAAACTGTTAAGACAAAACCTATTATGGTTTAGATCTAAAATGTCATGTGTTCAGGAAGGAGAGTGGATCATGAAAGTGTTTATACTCATCAGTGGATTAGTCCACTTTAGAGTGCACAGCTGAATGTGCTGTTAACAGGTGGGGTCTGGTTACATGACCTAGAATTCTGTTCTCCCTCCCTGGCTCCTGTCTTCCTTCTTTGCTTCCGGGCCACAGTGATATGACCAGCTTTCCTTTATCAGGCCCTTTTATCCTGCAATTTCTGCCTTGGAGCCAGCCAACCACACACTGAAAATATGAGCCCAAATAAACTACCCCATCTTTAAGTTGTGGGTGTCTAGTATTTTGTTTGGGCAATGAGGAAAGTGACTAAGACACTCCATTTTATCAATGAATGAAATAAAATTGTATTTTAACTAAACCCAGTTTGCAAAGTAATATAAAAATGAATATTTCAAAAAAAATCATAGCCTTCACGGTTATTAGCCTTTACCTGTCTGTGGACTTTCATGAGATTTCTGAATAGCTGTTCATTTTTAGCCAAGGAACAAATATATATTTTGTATATACAGTCTTCACCCAAATATGAACTTGAATATTCTTGTGGAAATAGAAAGTATTACTAACTCATCAAATATATATTCTTTGGAAGATATTAGGTCCAGGATTATGAATACAGTTTATGAAATCAAGAGCATTGGGCCAGGGACTTAGCTCAGTGGTTCCACCACCTGCCTCACAAGCCCAAGGTCCTGAGTTCGATCCCTGGTTCCAAAAAAACCTCCAAAAAACCAAAAAACCAAAAAAACCCCGAGCAACTGCAGAATTATTCTGTTTTCATTTGTTTAGAAAATGTATTGAAATCATAATATAAATGTGAAGCTTTATAATAATGCCGTGCATTTGTTACATGGATAATAAATATTTTTAAATGTTTCTTACAGTTAATTTAATATTATAATTTGCTTTCTTTGAAAGTTGCACATATATTTGGAAATGAGAACCTGTTTCTCAAAACTGAAAATAATCCCTGGACTTTATATACTCATATCACATTTTTCTTTCTTTAATTTGTATTTAGGAAATGGTTGGTTTCTTGATGATGTTGTAGTCAAGGATCGCACAGCAAATGATGATTATGCATTCTTCTGTCACAGGTTTGTAGGTGTGTTTTTACATTGAACAAATTAATTTTGTTTTAGTTCCAAGTTCATGTATTTTTGTAAACTAGGTAGCTTATTCAGTTATTCCTGGTCACTGATGCTTTGTTATATAACTTCTATGACCATTAATCTTAAGGGCTGCTGCTTCTATGGAGAAATAAATCCATTGTTTATTATTATTCTTAATTATATAAATTTAATATTCAGTAGTAAATTAAAGTTCCAAATTAGATTTAAAAATAATAAATGTGCATGATAACTGTTGTATATACTTCTTAAATAACCATTACATTGCTGACCCATTGTCAGTAGGCCTTGATTTTCAAGTTATTTTGCCAGTAGTGGTAATAGATTTGCTGTTTCTTTCACTTTTTTGCTTTTTTCCTTATGGAACCAATATTAGACACTTATGAAATAGCTAACTGGAGTTTGAACTAGTTAGTGGTCAAATAACAGGATAAAATAATTGATCCAATGGTTGTAAAATCTGTGACTTTTGCAGTTAGCAGGCTAATGGATTGAGTAACTTAACTCACTTGTGGATTAGAGAAAACATTTGATCTTTAGCAAATAACAGCTTTTTCTTCCTCTTTCCACCTCCCTTGCATGCTTACAGTCATTTTAGGATTTCATTTTCCATTCTGTACTACTGCTTTTTTGTTTGTTTGTTTGTTTGGTTTGTTTTTGGTACCAGGGATTGAACTCAGGTCCTTGTGCTTGTGAGGCAGGTGGCAGAACCACTGAGCTAAATTCCCAGCCCTACTATTGCTTTTTAATTTAACTAGTATCTATAGGTTTTTTTTTCCAATTCCTACTATCCATTATTTCTGAGTTGATATATAATTGCCAGAAATTTGGGTAAATATAAAACCTGAAAATAGTTGATACATTTTTCTTTCCACAGATGGCTGGATCAAGGGGAAGATGATGGTAAAATAGTCAGAGAACTATATGCCAGGGATAACAATATCTTCTCTGCGAGTGAGTGTCATGTACACACCCTTCTTGGTTTTAGGATGACTAAAGAAAGCATGACATTGTTGAAAGTAATGGTTCTCTCTTTGCTTTATCTTCTCAGGGCAGAAGCTAGAACTTCAGAGAAAAAAAACAGTAAGATTTTTCTTTGGGTGTTAAATTATTTAGTACAAACAATGTTCAAATAGCTATTTGATGTGTTAAAATAAAACAGTATATAATGTTTCGTGAGGGATGCTTCTTAGTAATTTCTTTTCTTTATGTATTCTCATACAGCACTTTTGTTTTTTGTTTCAGTGGGCTGCAGAGAGCTGGAAATTTATGAAAGGAAATACTCTTCAGTTCTACAGCAGGCTGACTAGGGGCTTTGTTCGTCTGCATCCAGATGGCACAGTTGATGCTAATGGAGAAAAGACAGATAAATATGGTAAAGCCGTCAGGAGAGTATGTGGTGCCACACAGGTCTGGGAGCTGCAGGAAGGGAGATTTCTAGGCACAACCTAATTCATAGTTTTTCTCCTTTTTCATTTGGCTTTACAGTTGGATTAGGCACTTAAATAATCATCTTCCTTAGTACAAATAATCAGTAGACAATGAGCTTAAATGTGGATAGACATGTCATTGTGTAGAATGGTGTTCCGTGAACAAATTTATTTTTGGTATTATTTAGTTAAAGAAATATAGGCAATTAACACTATTCATAAAAAACAGCAGTGTGGCTCTTGAATAATGACTATTTAAGAAATTAAGTCAGTTTTTCCAAATATCAAGTGCCTGTTCTCCTCAAAATAATTTGAGATCCACAGAAATAATGAAGATCTTGCCCTGAATTTCAGAGATTCATAATTTAACGAAGACAGACACATGAAATACTTCTAATCATGGTATTTATAGTTAATGTCTTAAAAAGTTACAAAGGAAAACCAGGCCAAGAAAACTTGATTTGATGTTTAATATCAGCATGTTGTGAAACCATAACCCTAAGAATGAATAAAGAAGGAATAAACCAATTATGATAGGCTTTTTTTTTTTTTACTATAAACTCAAACTTCTAATTCTTCAAAATTTGGAACTTTACAATTTTTAGTAAAATTTTCCTGCATTATCTATGAATGTAACTTTGTTACTCTTTTTTTAAGAAACTGTGTTATTCATGTAGCCTTTAGAATGTGCTGGAGACACTAATCTACAGCATATCTGCAAAATATTTCCTTTTCCATCTTACGTTAGAGATCCTAGGGAATAAACCAACTTTTTGCTCTGAAAATATGTAGTCTTCTAAGAACACTCTTCCACATAGTTTCTGCTTCCAAAATTAATTAGTTCTTAGGTATTTTCTTTAATTATTGGTTCCCACCTGGGATTACTTATCCACTAAATCACTCAAAATAGCCCTTTATACTCTGTTCTCTGCTGCCAGTGTCTTTCTTTATGAATATGGTAAATTGTATTTGGAACTATGGCACAAAAATATTTCCCATTGTTAAATCAGAAGCTGAGGTGGATCTAAATTTTACGTGACTTGTGGGAAACATGAGACCACTGGGTTAAGAGATCAAAACTGTTTATTTCTCACATTAAATCTAGCGATCAGGGCAATACATATCTGTATCAGTTCCCTCAGTACCCTGAATCTTAGTCCCACAGTGTCATGCTACAAGGGTCTGATAGTCTGATACTGATACTACAAGGTCTGATACTGACACCTGAAGCTGATTATGTTAGGGGAGAGAAATTACCAAATTAGAAAACTCTGATCTTACACGGGGTTGTCCATTTTTCCTTATCCAGGGTTGTTCATTCTTATCCAGAGGATAAGACAAAGATATAGTTGTGCGCACGCACATATGCACGTGTGTGTGCACGCGCACACAGACACACGAAGGAGAATGAATTTATCTTTATTCTGGAATGCAAGGAAATTTCCAAGGTGAATGAAAGGTCTTCACCTTATTCCCTTGGGACACATTGAGAGACCAGGATGTTTTTAACGCATTGCAGTCTCTCCTCAGAAAACTATTTCTTATCTGCTCGGAGGTACTGGACCGTGCATGCAGGAACATGAAGGATGCCTTCTTTCTACCGCCCTCTCCGCAGCCTAGTTTATGAGGGGCCTTGCCACCGCTGCATTGAGTTCTGACTAATAGAATGCAGCTGAACAACACTCTAATTTCTCAGATCTGCGTTTTTCTGTCTTCCCTTCTTGGATGAATCTTTCTTGGAACCTGGCTTCCTAGTGTGAGGAAGCCCCAAAAGTACTCAGTCTCTGACAGCTCCAGCTGAGTTCCTGACCTACAGCCAGTACCCGACTCTGTGTAGGCCAAACTCACTGGTAGATGACAAAAACGGAGAAGCTTTTTATCAGTCATTGTTTCTAGAATTTTAATACACTGCTCCTGCAACATATGAAGCCTAATGAATAGCCCCCCCATCCCGCAGAAGGCAGGACAAGAGAATACGTTCAAGAGAATTTTTTTCTTAGCGTAACTGATACACTTTTGTTCTGCAACAGGTCTTTTACCTGTGATAATTATGTATGGTATTATTTCCTGATGTTATGCTTAGTGTTCCATAAATTCACACTAATGAGTCAATGTTCACATGCCTGAAAAATGTGATTAATACTGACATGTAGACATCTTTTCATGGAAGTATTTTAAGAATATATCTCTGAGATATATGGGCTTATGATTTTTACTTCACAAAAGCAATATTGTTTTTCTCACCATAAGCCAGACCTTCTATTTAGTTATTAAGCTTGTTGTAAATGTAGCTATTTTCATATTCATAAAGTTAGAATGCTCATTTCTCTGCATGCTATTTCTTGGCTATTGCTCCTGAGAGAGGGATGTATGATGCTATGGGCATGAAGGTGAAGATGCAGGGGAAACCCCAGAAAGTTGGAGATATCAGTAGAGAAAACTGTAGGCTATGAGAGGATCCAGCCTAAAGAGAGGTCACGTGGGCTGGAACTGACAAGGCCATGGTGGTGGTGGGGGAGCCATTTGAAACTCACATCTCACCACTGTGTGCCAGATGTCAGACAAGGAGCTATAGGACTTAATGTTTGCCCTGCTTGGTTTCAGTCTTGATTTGGTCCTATTCTTTTCTAACCCCCTACTCTTCCCTTTTGGAAAGGGACTGTTTACCCTGTGCCATTGTACCTTGAGCTTATGTAACTTGTTTTTGATTTCCATAGGGGTTCATAGCTAAGAGTTCATTTTGTATCTCAAGGGAAACGTTGACATAGACTTTTTTTTCCCTTAAATTCTTTTATTGGTACATTTTAGGTATACAGTATGTTTACATTTATCATTGGGTGTTTGTACCTGTACATGATGTATCTTGGTTCTTATTTTCTCCCCATTCCCTATGCTCCCTTCACCTCCTTCACCCTTCCCTATTTACAAAGACTTTATTTCCATTTTTTCCATTTCTCATCA